TCTCGCAATTCTGAGTTTATATCTCGCAATTCTGAGTTTTTCTCACCATTCTGACTTTTCTCGCAATTCTGAGTTTATATCTCGCAATTCTGAGTTTATATCTCGCAATTTTACGTTTATATCTCGCAATTCGGAGTTTTTCTCACAATTCTGTTTATATCGCGCGATTCTGAGTTTATATCTCATAATTCTGAGTTTATATCTCGCAATTCTGACTTTTTTCTCACAATTCTGAGTTTATATCGCGCAATTCTGAGTTTATATCTCGCAATTTTACGTTTATATCTCGCAATTCGGAGTTTTTCTCACAATTCTGTTTATATTGCGTAATTCTGAGTTTATATCTCATAATTCTGAGTTTATATCTCGCAATTCTGAGTTTATATCTCGCAATTCTGACTTTTTTCTCACAATTCTGAGTTTATATCGCGCGATTCTGAGTTTATATCTCATAATTCTGAGTTTATATCTCGCAATTCTGACTTTTTCTCACAATTCTGAGTTTATATCTCGCAATTCTGTTTATATCGCATAATTCCGAGTTTATATCACGCAATTCTGACTTTTTTCTCACAATTATGAGTTTATATCTCGCAATTCTGACTTTCTCACAATTCTGACTATTTTTGCAAGAATACGGTAAGTCACAATTACCTTTTTAATCTTTTTGTCCCACGTTGGAAACAAGCTTCCATAGATCTGTCATGAAACAACTTTCCATTAAATGTTGATCTGAAGTCACGATGACAGACAACTGAAGAACAATCACACGACGATTCTGGAATCAAAATATTTAATAAGTACATAACAAGTATTATACCATGTATAAAATTCGGAATCACGATTCGAAGCGATGTTTCTGCCGGGACCGCAGATCAGATTTAGCCACACTGAAACAGCGAACGGTGAAAGTCAAACAGGTAGGAAAATAAACCGACGGCTTCGTCACAATCTCATTTCTCATCATCAGTAAGTGCAATAAAACGTAAAACACCACAGGAAAGCGCAGCAGAAGAGCGAGAGCGTGAGAGAAAACAGCCAAGATCACAGACGAGAGGAAAGCCAGCACTGGAAATCAAAGACGGGATATCGCTGTGGGAATGACACACGTCACAGACGAGCGGATAAACATCGTACATCTGCAGTTCCTGAAAAACAACAGCAGAAATCACCACGAAAAGAGACGAACAGGCCGAGCAACAAACAACCGAAGGGAACAAACAAGGAACAGATGAACGCTTCGGATCACGTTCACGATGATTGAGCAGCGGATTCGCTCCATCTGTCACGACAATCCAGCTGAAGATGGAGAAACATCAGCAGATCTGGAGAGATTCGCACTGACTCTCCATTTCACCGCAGCTTTCAGCTTCATTAGAGCAGCGGATCAAAGATTCAGTCATTCGATTCCCGTCAAGAACACGTTTGACTCAGTTCACTCCGAAATGAACCAAAGGTACGAAAAACTATATTCTGCATTAAGAAAATGAAGCCTATTTTAAGGACCATTAAGATACTCTGAATAGTGACATTATTTTTTATTACGTTTAAACACATTTTATGCCATTAATATAATGCATAAAAAATGATAAATTATTTTTTGTTAAATTGTATTTTGATATTTTAAATATTAAAAGTAAATATAAAAACAATACATGTTAAAAGCATTTACACATTGTATTTGTAGAACTGCCTCTAATTTTATGCTTGTTTTAATAACAAAATTATTATTATTTTTTTTAAACAGTAATTAGACTTGAAAATCATTGAGACTAAAGAGAAATAAAAAATAACTCAAAACTAAAACATCTGGACAAATTCATGAGAATTTGGGATAAAATGTGTTTAAGTGTGTCACAATGCAAATTATCATAAACTTAGGCTTCTTTTGTGCAAAATATAATAATTTTATATTTATTTATTTAATAAATATTTAACTACATAATTATAATTAAACAATTGTTTAATATTTATTTCAATTTATTTATATAAAATAATTATATGAATTATTAACAATT